ATTTACCAAATAAGAAAGAGATTGCAGAATATTATTAGTCAGAACAATATTCAATAAATTAAAAAGTACATAAGACTGTCAAAACAACTTATATTTTGAAACAAAAAAAACTTTCAAAATAACTTATATTTTGAAATAGAGGGAGTAGTATTAAATCTAACAAAAATTATATATTTAAATTGATATTTCTTGGAAGCGAAGTTTTGCAGATTTTTAGTATATGTATGTGTTTAAAAAATTATATATGATATTCCCCCGCTGGTGGACCAACACTTCCAATTTTGCAGAAAATTATTGATTTGAGCAACAAAATAAAGGTACTACTTTCTGTGTCTTCCTCTGATATTTATAGTAGTTCCCTCTAAACATAAGTTTTGAGGCTATTTCAAAATGAAGTCATTTATGAATTTTCCATGATTTGCTTTCAATTCCTTTTTTTGGGGGTGATTTATGTTCTCATCTTTTCCACCTCCTTTCATATGTCTTGTAAGATGAACTTGCATTGGTATCCAACCATGTGAAGGAGATCAAGAATTGTTCATTTCCAGAACCAGAAATTTCAAGAGCTATCCATCTTCTGAGTCAGTACATCATTCTCTTAATGTTATACATCATTCTCTTAATGTAATACATCCGTTCTAATTATGTTTGAAAACATAAACTTGAACCACTCGTTTGTCTTTCACTATGCCATTTGATTGGTTTGTGAATGTCTATTGTTTAAAATCAAGTTTAACTTATGTACGTGCATACGCACAGGTCTTAATACTAATCACCTTATAAAAGAGATAACAAACGTGAAAAGAATATATTCGATTGCTTTGTTTTGAATTAACAAATAACTTGCATTGGACGTGAAAAGAATAAAGAGATTCCCTTAGCATATATTCGATTTTTCCACTCTGCATTTACGGAGGACAAAAGCTTGTTTTTTTAAATAACATAAACTCAGATCAGAAGTTGACACTCGTGACTAAATTGATGATATCGATAATTAAATATTTAGAGGTTCTAGACCAAAAATAAAAATAAAATATATTTAGAGGTAATATCCTCCCCATCTGACAAATCAACTTAACAGAACGATTTAAGAATGAGAAAGAGAGAATCTTGTTATATGTACCACGAAAGCTAGAGTAACGTCCTCAGTTACTCGCAGAGGTGCAATCATCTCTTCCTCGTTTACAACAAGAGAAGCAAAATCTTAAGAAAGTAGAAAGAAATCTACTCTTCTTAAACAAGGTTGGTTTTCTCTGGTCTACCAGATATGCCTAAACATACAATGTGATTCATGAAACACCCATTATCTCCTTTTTTGAACAATGAGATTCCGAGTTTCTCAAGCGGCGCATGCAAGATGCTTGCTAAGAAAATCTTCTTAGTCAAGGCAAACGTTGTGGTAACCAAACCTCTGACTCTCTCTGCCTCACCGTTCTCCTCTGAACATCTCCTCCCCATAATCATTTTGCATATGCTGTTGTTAGTGAGCTTCATCGCTTCCTTACCAATCTCAACATTCTCCTTCTTCATTGCCTTATCAAGAAGGTTCATGTAAAACCGTTGTAGCTCATCAGCACGGGTGCTTCTAGACTGCTCGAGTGCCTTTGGTCCGAGCAGCTTGGTGACAGTGAGCTTCTTCATGAACCTCCAGTAATCTCCATAGGGAGCACTGATGAATCCCGAAGATCCAAACAAGAGTGACTCTTTGAAGGGAGGGAGGCCGTGACACGAGACGCTCAGATCGTGTGTCTTGAAGATCTCGTAGGCCACCGAGGCAGAAGAAACTAGGACTATAGGCAAATTGAAGACACGGAGATAGAGAAGAGGTCCAGACTTGTGGGAGACTTTCTGAGAGACTTGTGGGATAGAGTAAAGAGAATAAGGTGAAGATGACCAATGATCGGAAGAGAAGGAGGACTCGGAAGCAAATTTAAGCCAAGTCTTGAGGCTCTCGGTTTCTTGAAGAAGACAAAGAGACATAGGATTGAGAAGAGGCACAAGAGGATTAATATGAAACAATTTTGAAAGTCAAACAGCCACCATTGCTGCCATTTTGAGGTCGAAACTAATCCTATGCTACTTGTCCCTATAGAGTTAGGTAGAAGAGA